TACCAAATATTATTTCCCTTTAAACGCAAAATGTTTCAATAGTTTGAGAAAATATATAATTCATCAACATTTTCCAATTATCTCTTTTGTACCAGTCTAATTTATATTTATATATTCTGTCGTAGTGTCTGCAGAAGTTATATGTTTGTTTTGTTTCTTGTGTGTGTCTAGAAGAAATAGACTAAAGGCGATAAGTCGAGACCACGATAATAATAATAAGGTGTCGTATAATGATTGCGTTAATAATGTTGTGATGTTGTGTTATCGGGATATGAAAGGGGCGAGATTTCACATGACTGCACTATCAGCCACCATAATTGAATGAAGTCTGTATTATTACATGCGGGGTTGGGGGGTCGAATGGTTAATGAGTGTGCGTTGGATCAGAAGGCCTTTCATTGAGTCAAGTGGCGTGGTTTCGATTCCCCTCTTGTACGTGGGTTTTCTCCAGGTTCCCCGGTTTCCTCCCACTGCTAAAGACCCCTACGCGCAAGCGAATTATTGAAATAGAATTGAACCATAGTCCCCAAATGACCTCCCTCTCTCTCTCTCTCTCTCTCTGCTCTCTGTGTATCATTACACACCCGGGACTGTAGGTATTATAATTGCGCACTGGTCAATTAGACTGGGTCCCGGGTCAATTGATTTGATTTGATATAGTTGATGGGTTTTGTTTGCGTGTATAGTGCGGTCGCCCTGTACTTACTATTAAAGTTTCTGATATTTAATTCCTTCAATCATGAATGGAAATCTTGTTAACTAATTTGGTGTCCTCTTATATCGTCGTTTATCAAGGGGAGGTAACTCCATTTTTGAGAAATCATACGAATCAAGATACAATTCGATGATAAATATTATTAAATTTCTACAACATAAGATATACCAAAATATAAATTGTATTTTGTTAAATAAATAAAAAGTATATATATTAGTTCATTGAATGTAATTCCATTTAAAACTTTACTTTTAGGGTTCAAAATTTCTAATATTATCAATCAGTTTTTTTCGAATACATCACTTTGTAGCCCACGAATAGCCACCCTATCCGTTATAATTGGACACATTCAACTCGAGAAATTGAATGGAATTTTTATCGGGTCATTGACAATGACCTTAACCTGTCAAATCAATATCTGATTATTGCAAGTCTTAATTTAGGCTTCAGATGTTATAGAAATTATAATTTAGATCTTTATTTAAACAACAAGACCAAAATCAACTCTGTAGACCCACGGATGGCTCGGCTACAGCTCGGATTTAAATAGGATTTCACTAATTGATTAATTCAGATAAGGGGTAACCTGATGAAAATACGTCAGTTGAAAACTTTACTTGATAATCGAGATATGTAGGTGGAGTTAACGCCTGTCAATTAAACGTTCAGAGAAGGTGAAGACACATTTCGCTACCATTTCTAGGCAAATATTACAACGATGATAACTATGTTCAGAAAGTAAGTTGACTGAATTTTTCAATATATTCTTCTTTCATCATCTACTTTTGAACTGTTATAGCAAGAATGGCCAACTCTCTATAAATATCTCCCATAATGTATCTTTAATATACCATCTGGTTTGCCAAGTAAAGTGCCCGAAATCTAATAAAACACTAATTTTACTTTTCTTTTGTTTGAATATGTACAACGAATTTTTAATGTACTGACTATGAATTAAAATACTTTTTTCTGTAGCATTGGATGGTCGGTATTCAGGTTGGCATAGATTGCGATTTCGGTTGCAAAACCATTGGACAGCTTTGAAGTTTGTTTACTCACGGGCTAGAATAGATGAAAAACGCATTTGCAGCAGTTACATTTTCTAGGGAAAAGCGAGGCACCCATACCCCGCGATTGATTGGTTGTTTGAAATTCAGGCCAGTCACCCAAGTATTTACGGGGTCGTTATATTTTCAAAATTTTCTCCCGACGGTCGCGTCTCCGTGCACTGTAAACGATTGATTGGTGTATTGGAATTCAGGTCACCCATCTAAGTTAGGCTACATTAGACCAATTTGAAGTTGCTGTAGTCACAGCCTGGAATAGCAGGGAAACCCGATTATACGACCGTTAAATTTAGCACGCACTGATGACCGGCGCGACTTTCTGTAAACATGATTTTTTAGGAACTGTCTCTGAGCGGACGATGTCCACTGACAGTTCCTATCGGGCCCTATGCAATATAAAAATACAGCTCTTCCCCACCTCTGTTCTAAGGCTATTTTGTAATCCTTACCTACCATTTTTCACCTTGATTCTACCATTTTCAAGTAGAATTCTGCAATTAAAAACATACACAAAATACGTTTGAATGGATCAGCCATTACGAGACCCGAACATGCGCAAACCGCATGTTTATTTTATCGCTAAATTCTACTTGAAAATGGTGTTGAATTATTAAAAAATTGTGTCAAATATAGTGATAAATGATTCCTTTTGGCGGAAAATAAAGAATCGCGGTGAAAAATAGAAGGTTAGGGTTCTAAAACAGCCCGATAACACAGGTGGGGAAGAGGGGTATTTTACCGTATTTTTATATTGCGGCTATATAAAGCCAGACAGGAAATGTCAGTGGACATCGTCCGCTCAAAGACAGTTCCTACCTCCCCCAACATTCTTTGGGTCCGTACAGGCCTATGCAACGATATCCGAAAGGTCCAGAAAGTCACCTTTAGTGTCCAACAATACTAAACTTCGGTCATTTCTGCGTCATAGTGGTCAACTGAGTTGATTTAATTCCTTTCAAATGATATATCACACAAGCACAATTGCTACAATATTCAAATCAAATTATGTCAATAAAATAAAAAAACGCAACACTTATATAATAATAAAAAATAGTTGAGTAATTTTACTTAATTTCTGATATAACTTTTGTATTCTAACTTCACAAGGGGGGTTGGATGGCTTAGTGGTTAGCACGTGCGCGCTGTATCATTAAGTCTGTCATTGAGTCAACTGGCGTGGTTTCGAAATCCCGGTTGTACGTGACAAGGAGTAGGGTCGCCTGTCCAACCTCGTGGGTTTTCTCCGGGTCCGGTTCCTCCCACTGCTAAAGACCCCTACGCGCAAGCGAATTATTGAAATGAAATTGAACCATATGTTAGTCCCGAATTGACCTAGTTTGTGTCGAGTGGACGTTAAACCCCATTTCTCTCTCTCTCTCTCTAACTTCACAAGGACCTTGGGTGTTCCACGTGCGCCGTGGGTAAATTGATACTGGCTGCGATGTGGTGGCGAATATAGTTCACGTTTTGGACGACTGGGTGACAACTCAACATTTAAGCGCAACGGGGCGGCCACCAGATGGAGTGATAGACGGACAACTTGACAATTATACATACGTTACTCGGTGGTGTCGTGTTGTCCCTCTATTATGTCGGCTTGAAGCGTTTGGTCCGTAGCGTTTTCGCAGAAAAGTAAAGCGTTAGACCCAATTTCATTTCATTTCTCAATACAGAATGCGCGCACATCATATAGATAGTCAGTTACAGTCTTCTCCTAATCCATGATACAAAATCAAAAATGATAGATATATCACACACACTTTAATGTTTACTTCTGCTCTGAAACCGCTTGAAGGATTTCATCCAAATATGGAATGTGACACACCCAATTATATAGGATGGAATACATCGCATTATATAGTATGGAATGCAACACACTCAATTATATAGCTAGTATGGAATGCAATACACTCAATTATACAGTATGGACGCGCAACACTCAATTATATAGTGTGGACTGCGCCACACTCCATTATATTGTATGGAAGGCACCATACACCATTATATAGGACACAGCACTCAATTATATAATACACGGAATGCACCATACCCAGCTGGAGATAATCTGTTAAATCACAAACTGCCCCAACGAAAATATCTCAATAGTGCTATGATGATATTAGATCAGTCCTCATACCCAACTTATGAGACACCATCCAATACAAATAAAAAAAAAATCCATTATAATCACAATTAAACATGCATTATGCAAGAGCAAAATCTGCTTATTACAAGTCTTTCTTTAGGTCTGAAATGTTATCTAAATTATCAATTAGACATTAATTAACTTATCCAGATCATAATAAACTCTCGATGTCAAGGCTAGCCTTCGATGTTGGCTGGATTAGATTCCTATATGCCGCGAACGGCCATTGATAATTAAATATAAAAAAAGTGGATAATCGAGACAATGCTGTTTATATTAATGATTTTAGTAATGATGACCGAGACTATGCAAACATTTCACCCGCTTCTTTCTCGGCTCATAGTGAATCAATTTGACTGAAATTTTCAGCAAATTACCTTTACACTATCTAGTTTTTAACTATTATAGTGAGAACTGCCATCTCTTTATCTTATCTCCCATAATGTATCTTTAATTGTGTTATCAAATTCAATGTCCAGCTTCTTCATCGATGAATGTGGATTATCTTATTGTTGTGACTTGTATCAATTACTGATGAATAATCGACCGAAGTGGGGATCGTGGGCCCTATTCTTAAGTTTATCAAGACAATTAAAATTGATCTCAATATGCGTTGTTTATTTTGAACAATCAACTATCAAACAAAGATCTAATGGCTCCTGAGAGGGTTCTTGTTTTGGTATTTGTTCAATGTACAGATTCAATTTGTTCAATGTACAGATTAATCTCAACAAGTCAATTGCGCACAGACTTCGTCACAGCAACTAGTATACCCCCAAGCGATTTATTTCTTAGGGCATGAATTGAAATGAAATGACTTCAATGGGCTTTCAGTAAGGCCCAGAGGGAATAGTCTTTATAGAAGTATGGCGAAACACAACAAATTGTTATATCCTTCATGTAAACATATATCGATGAAGAGAAAAGAATAGACATCTTGATTACAGTTGCTTAGTAAAGTTGGAAAAGAAGACAACCTACTCAGCTGTGCACACGATCTTACAACATGTTGGTTGATGTCTTTAAATTATTGTTGATAATTACCATCTTTAAATCATCGATATGTCTGGCTAGCGAGGGCGAAGTATGTATTCCGGAACAATTAAAATATGATGCTAAACCGGATAAGATCGGACAACCGACTTTAGAAACTTATAGTTACGATAGTAAATTAGTGTGCGCCCTAGAATGTTCAGAAGAACCATTTTGTACCGCGTTTTCCTTCAATGAACAAAGCAGTGTGTGCAAGACATATAATATAGACGTTGAAGATTCGGATTCCCAAACATATGAAATTGGCACAGACCTATATCTGTACAACCAAAGTGAGTATTGAATGAGTTTGAATGATTATCAAGGTCATTTTTAGACTATCTTAAAGTTACTTTAAGATTAGGCCCAACCCTGCTGGCGTCTAAAAAATAACCCAATCATGTTCAAACTTCACTAAAATACTTTATTTGATCAAAAATACATATTTTTACAAAATTATGCAAATTACCCAATTTTTCAACATGAATGAGTTATATTTAGCTACTTTATTAGACACCAGGGTTCGGCCTATTTTTAAGGCGGACGCCCTTTCCTCTTCGAATTCCAACTGTCAAGTTTGTACCTTTGTGTAGTGTCAAGTTGAACCGACTGCTGTATTTAAGACGGGATTGTTTGTTCCCAATATCGAATAACCCAAATCCTTTTTCGGGACGGTATTTGTGTTTCGCGGTTACAAATTGATTACGTTGAAATGTACTGCGGAGCGCAATTACGAGCTTTACGTCATGGTTTTTTTAAGCTTTTGTGCCCCCTTGAGTTTTTGCGCTCCTCGCAAATGGCAAAAAATCATGCTACAAATCGACTCTAGCAATATTACCCAGCCCAATATTACCCGGTGACACTGGGAGGGGCTGACACCCCACCCCTCCCCCGCACACACATATAAATATTGTTTTCGGGGGCCCTATTTCGTTTCGTTTTTTATAGTTCAAAAATAGATAGGTCTATATATATTGCCTTGTAGCCCCTGGAGCACTACAAAATCCAAAATATATACAATTACACCAAATTGTTTTCGGTGTTCATGGTCAAGTAGCATGCGAACCCTATTACTCACCTGCCATCTGATTGCAAATTCGTAATTTACCTTTACTAGAAAGGTAAAAACAAGATATCTGAAACTCAAGTAAATTATCGATACATATTTTGTTTCGAAAACTTATCGGTAACCCATGAAACTCAAATACCCGTATCTCAGTCAATTTTTAAGCTACAGACCACAAATTTTGCACAGTTTCTAGTTTTTGCATGTACAATAACATATATTTTTCCAGATTTTTCCGAGGGGGTCGATTTCCCACCCCAGGCCCACTTGACATAGAATGATCCTTTGGAAGTCTTTCTTTATACCTGAAATGTTATCTAAATTATTAATTAGACATTAATTAACTTATCCAGATCATAATCAACTCTCGATGTCATCGCTAGCCTGCGATGTTTATTGGATTAGGTTCCGATTTGCTGTTTATTCATGAATTGGATAATCGAGGCTATATTTTTTATCGTACCGACTTTAGTAATGATGATCGAAGCCAGTCCGAAAATTCAATCGCTAAAATCTTGGTTCAGAGTGGATCAATTTGACTGAAATTTTCAGCAAATTCCCTTTACATTATCCAGTTTTTAACTATTATAATGAGAACTGTCAGCTCTTTATCTAATCTCCCATAATGTATCTGTAAACATACATTATGCAAGAGCTAAAACTGTCTATTGAAGGTCTTTCTTTAGGCCTGAAATGTTTTTTAAATTATAAATTAGATATTAATTAACTTATCCAGGCCATAATAAACTCTCGATGGCATCCGATTTCTCCGATATTAAATAGATTATAACAGTTCAGCCATATTTTGATTTAAGATGAAAATGGAGGAGCGAGACTTAGCTTCGAACTAACATAATGTATCTTTAATATTTTATTTATTTTGGGCCCGTTTCTGTAGACACTGATTCAGCTTCAACATTTGGTCCATTGTAAATCTGGCTCGCTAACCTGGAGGTCCCGTGTTCGATCCCGGTGTTGGCCGTAAAAGTTTGCCGGGATCTTCTGGCGTGGTTCCACCTTGTCAGTTGATAGGACGAAAAATCGAGGCCATTGGTACACATTGATGAGCACGTACAATATCCATAAGCAGTTAGAATTCTATAGAAAAGTAAGTCCCAGCTCCGCTGTGTGGCGTATAATGCCCGTCTTCATTAGCCCAGCCACGGAGCAGAACAGTGGGACGTTAAACCCCATTTAATTTATTTCCGGCGTGGTTTGCCCTCGTCAGTGGTGCAGGACGGAGGGCCTAACATAGACAGCTGTCTAGACGTTCGTATGGGACGAAAAACCGAGGTCCAGTGTACACATTGGCATGCACGTAAAAGATCACTTGGCTGTTGGAGAGAGAGAGAGAGAAATGGGGTTTAACGTCCACTCGACACAAACTAGGTCATTTCGGGACTAACTTGGCAGTTGAAATTCGATATAACAGTAGGCCTGGGCAAAATTCCTCTCATAGCACACTGTATGGCGTATGTCCGTCTTCATTAATCCAGTCGGAGCAGTAGGACGTTAAATCCCTTTCATTTCATTTCCATTTCATTAATGGTTATTCCAGGGATGTATATGACTACAATATTTCTAATTATTGACATGTCTTGTCGATGGAGTATGCTTACTGGTGCTGATATCAGGTAAAGGTTAGGGTTAGGGGTTGATAAAAAAAAGAATCCATATGGCTGGGTGTCGGTGGGCGAAATGTCCATTACACACCATGTCTTTCATTTGTAGTAAACTAAAAGAATTGACTCTACCTGACTCGGTACTTTATACTTAATTCAGGTAACAAATTAAAGATCTAAACCTTGACATTTTTTGCAAGTAAAATCGCAAGCCTATATTGTACAGTAGTCAGTAGGCCTAAAGAATTGGATGTAAACAGAACATTAGAGTAGCAATAACAGCACTAATTCGAAGACGGAGTATCGGTTGTTGAGATGTACTCTAGCAGAAGTTTACACAGAAATGCAGATGGTGGAACTGTATCGAAATTAAGAGTTTTTTTTATCACAAATCGCGGAGTTATCTACCGTTAACATTCAAATTGATGAAATCTTTTGATAGATTTCTATCCAGAATTCTGTATGGGTGACAACATATTGATTTTTTTTTTATATCGTAGGATGTGGTCACCTACCAAATGTACCCAATGCTTCTCCACCAACGGTCGAAAGTTCCAATAGTTACCCCGCCGGTAAACGAGTCTTCTATTCGTGTATAGAAGGAGCCTACATGATTGGTAATGGTGAATCCATGTGTTTATCAAATGGCACATGGTTTATGTCAAACGTCAGATGTGTATTTGGTAAGTACAACTGAAATGAAATGGGGTTTAACGTCATTTTTTGTGCTCTAGTTGGGCTAACAAAAATGGATATACGGCACGCATTTGCCGGGACAGCATTAGTAATCTAATTGGGCTATCAAAATGACCAGTATTGTGGAATTCCAACTGTAAATGGGTTTTTTAAGTACACATCCATGTGTACCCGGGACCTCGGTTTTCCGTCCCATCCGAACAACTATACAATATTACCACCATAGCACACTGTATGGTGCATGTCTGTCTTTGTTAGCACAGTTGGAGCAGATCAGTAGGATGTTAAACCCCATTTCATTTCCTTTAATTCATTTCGTATATTAATTGTTAGATTACTAGTATGGACTTGTGTTTCTTCCTCTCCAGTTGATAAAGATTTCTCAAAAAAAGAGATAACATCGTTTTCGCGAGGAAACGCACCAAGCTATAAAAAAAAATCTATAAAAAGAAGTCATGTTTGTGTCACGTGACTCAGCAGTCGTTGTAACTTGGCACGAGTGCGAAGCTGCAGGAAAATTCATTGCATTTAAAAGACGATATTGTCTGTAATCGCTGTCCATCAAGCTTGGATATGGAATCCTAAGTATATTCTGGGATTATTACCTGGTCACTTCATTTTTCGCAATTTATTTTCAGAATCTTTTGTGCGTTTCAGTCTCTCATTTTTTCCACATCCGCTTACTGTCATGTTTCTCACCATGTACATTAAGCGCTCACTAATGAAAAAGAGGTCAGACAATCTACGCGCGCAGCCTTTGACGTCAGTCAGGCTGACAATTAGTGACACTCTCTCAATTTTGTCTTGTGCGCGCTCCATGGATGTTTTTTTGTTTTTTAGGGAATCCATTATATTTCGAATAAGATTGATTCGGTGCCTCTGCATTCCATATACACCAAAATTATTGTCATACTTATATTGGAAATAACCACCTTATAAATATTTTTGTGGGAATGTACCATTAAATAAAACAAAAATCATGTCTTCCTTTCCATTGTTTCAGCTAGTTCGAAGTCAAAGAAGGAATTGCCCGTTACGCTCTTGGGTTATTGATCTGTGCATTGTTCGGTGTACTTTTTATCTGGCCTGTGTTCGGTTCCCCGCTCGACTGTGTATAATCGTCATTGTTGCTTCATTTCCCTTCGGCATCAAACACATTTTACTTGTCTTTTCAGTAAAAACCTGCTATGAAGCCGATGAGTTAGCAATAAACATATCACCTCCTATTGCAATCAGGCCAATTGAGAATGGAGCCGTGGTCTATGTGACTTGTGAGCGAAGAGAGAATGATGTTTATACCGTGATAGGTAGGCACGCTATTAAATATTCATGGATAATGTTTTCCCTATGACGTAAATTAACGCAAAAAACGTCCATATTGTTTTTCGTGAAATTGTAGTACATGTATTTGTTTGAAACAACGTCACCACATTCTTGGCTAAAACAAATAGGCTCATTAAGGATGCAATGAATCTATTCAAGCTTACATTATGTTTGTCTTTCGGGAGTCACTAGCACTATATCCAGGAGGTCCGGGATTGAATTCCAGTTTTGACTGAGAAAATTTATCGGATTGTTCCAGAGTGTTTGGGGCTTGACAAGGAACAACGTCTAGTTGTTCTGATGGAATATAAAAAAACCATGGTCTTGTGTACGTTGGTAGGCATGTAAATTAGAGAGGGGGTGGCGGTAACGTCACAAACTAGGTCATTTAGGGACTAACGTATGGTTTAATTGTATGCCATTAATTCGCTTGCGCGTAGGGGTCTTTAAGAGTGGCAGGAAACCCGAGAACCCGGGGGAAATCCGAGAGGTTGGACTGGTGATCCTACTCCTTGTCACGTACAAGCGTCGAATCAAAACCAAGTCACTTGACTCAATGCTACCCCCATACGATTTGGATTATAGCATCTGTCAGTTGGGTAAGAATCGGGATTTCGATCAAATACTAATTAACCTCGTGGGTTTTCTCGGGGTCATCTGCATGGTTTCCTCCCACTGCCAAAGACACTTAAGCGCTAGCGAATTATTGATATAAAATCGCAGATTACCATTATTTTCCCATTGACTTTCCTAAACGATTTAACAACTAAAACTATATAAACAGACCATATATCTATCTTTGAAAGTTTATTTGCAACTTTAGGCGGCAAGACAGCTGGGTTTTTTTGGGTTTTGTTGGGGGGGGGGGGGGCGGGGTTAAAGTATGTAGACCTAGACTATGTTTGTAAGAGATGGGGGGGGGGGGGGTCGGGGGAGACTTTTCTCGTTTTTAGGGATGTTTAAAACGAGAATTTCATATTTTTAAGTCCTGTACATTTCTTATAACTTATATAGCCTAGATCTAGTGAGACTTAGCTTATTTATTCGAGGTCATGAATATGATATGAGGATACGTGATATTCTGTAAAAAAAGTTTTTCTTAGTCTTTCTATTCCGATTTTCTGACATTGCACTGATCTAATGATATATCACACACTCTTGTACAAGATGATTATACAGAGTTTCAAATTACTATGACTTCCGCCTTCCGGACAGTTTGAAGAAGGGATATAGATAATAATAACAGCAGTATATATCATCAAAAAATTTATTTTGTAAGAGTACATATTTGGTGAAAGGTGTTTTTATATTTGATTGATATGGTAAATCGCTCATTTTTGATTTATTACCGTATATCGCAAATTCTAAAATATTAATTATTGTACCACTAAATTCGATTATTGAGGAAAAATTACATAGTTTTGGGGATAAGGCAGTATTCATAAATCAATGTTTAATAAAAAAAAAACTAGCAGAAAGAAGTAAAGTTATGTGATGAATAATATGATATAATTTTTATTAATATAATGATTACAAAAAAAATCAATAAATATTACTAGTATTATTAGAATAAATAGATGTTCATGTATTATGTAAGTAATTGATTGAATATGTACATTTAATTCAAATGTTTTAACATGAATAGTGATGTTCATAATCATAGTATGGCATATTATTATTAATTTAAAGTATTAATAATAATGTATAAATAATATTAATATATATTAACATTAGTGTTACTTTGCTCTTTTTAAAAAGATTTTCACAAGTTGATTTCCTTTATTTTGTTAATGTAGAATGGTAATGAACTGCTCTTTTCATTTTCTTTGTTTTATTTGTTTCGTTTGAATTTGATTTATCTGTTTAGTTTTTGATTGTTTAATTTTTGTTAATGAAGTTTATTCTTTTAAATTTCGTTTTTATTTTTTGAACTCTACTTGGTGTAGGTGTTTATCAGGTAATACCTCGACTGAGTTCAATATAGAGATTAGCCGGTTGATTTGTTGGATATAAACCTTTGAATAATAGCGCCTAACAGGCAGCTGTGTTTAATTATGTTCTCCTGATTTTGATTGTTTCTGTGTGTTTGAAGTATATGTTTGTGATATGCGCTTAGAAACACTTCACGTGTAATGAAGCGCTATATAAATCGAACAATAATAATATTTGTCCCAAAATGACAGTTTGTATTGAGTAGTCGACGTTAAAGCCCACTTGCAAATAAATAGACAAAAATGAAGATACAATTCGAACCTATCAGCATGATCATGAACATTAATAAGCAGCATCCAGTTGTTTTCGTCCAGGCGTTAACTTAAAACATACACCAGTAATCAAATGATCAGCTGCTCAAGATATCCTAAATCATTAGAGAAATCGATCAGATTCTTCGTCTCATATCAGATGATATCTGGTTGATATGTTCAAGGGCCTTAACTCGAACAGTAATTATCAATAATCGTGGACAGTCTGTAGGATTCTTCGTATCATGAACATAAACACAGTATACAAATAATTAGTTAACAGAAAATGTGGACACACGATGGGTGGGCAGTGGGTAGATCGGGCGACGACATTAGAGACTTTTGGCAAGCGTAAATTACTTGCCGTATCACGTACCCGTATTGATTTTGCTTGTGACGTCATCAATGTGTGTGTATTTTTCATACGTGATACGGCACACGGATACGGCAGTACGTATCGACAGCTTTCATACGGAAAAGAGCCGTATAACATCGTCATCTTTTTTTTACCGTTTTTTTTGCTACTTTTAGACGCTGAAATGTTGTGCCATAGCGTGTTTATGAATCTATGTGTATCCTAGAACACAAAGGTGTATATTTGATGTGATTTTAACCATGATAAAGACTGGAATTTAATCATATTTTTCCTGTCTGTCTGTCTGCATGCTGGTTGATCTATGCGCTAAATTTAAGGAGGCGAGACCTTGCAAATATGTAAACAATGTGATTCTATTGTAAAGGGGTATAAACTTTCTGAAATGATACATTATAGTGAAACCAAAAATTGCTGTTGAGACGAAGTCAACTTTTAATAGCTCAACATTCTGTCGAGCGACTTTACTCCCTCCAGTAATTTGTAGACTAGGCACTTAATTGATCAGTACTGATGTTGATCTTGGTAGATAACTGCCACCATACTGTAAAAGTACTAAGGTCAAATCAGCTACCCATACGTACACGGCGCTAAACATCTGCCAAAACTCTAAAACTACATTGACGCAACGTATCACGTGGATACGGATACGTGATACGAATGGGAAAAAGCGCTTGCCAAAAATCTCTAATATGTCACCAGATTTCAACGTAGGCGTATAAAAAAGGAACGAAACTCATCAGGTGTGTATTTTAATCAGATTCCCTAATTGGTAATTCAACATGCCTCAGATTGCCAGAAATGAAGTTAATCTCCTGAAACAATGTGGACCAAGACTCTAAAAACATTTAGAGCACGTCTAGGTCGTGGTTTTCTTTAATTTAATTGAACTTTTCCAGGTCATAACCTTGCTAACAGAACGTATATCAATGGTCCGGAGGATTCTTTCAGTGGTGTTTTACCTATCGAATATACAATACCACTAGATCTAGCCATTGGTGTAGTCGACGTCTCCGCAGAATGTGAGCAGTTTATCAAATTCGAATGTCTCGGAGCTGGCGCCCATTATAACGCCTTTAGGACCCGTACAGGAGAACAGGCAGACTATTTTGCTGGTGGAGTAAAGGGGCGAGGCGATAACAACTGTGCCTGTCACATCAGCGATGCATGTACATCGCAAGGAATATGTAATTGCAACGCCGATACAGGTGAATGGCAAGACGACACCGGATATAACCGATATAAAGAAGATCTACCAATTACAGCGTTCTTAGGTGGCGACACCGGTGAGTCACATTGTTCAACAATTACCGAGTCCAAGTACCTTCATTTAGCTACAATTTATGACAGGTGCCATACACTAGGCACATTTAATGATACTTCTCATTGATTCGGGACGTTTATGTAGGAAACAAATTTATGACTTACGTTTATATTTTAAGATCCTGACGTTTTTGTTCAGCGATAAGTAGTGACGTATATATGCTGCACGGGGCGGATCGTGGGTACTCCCTGTAGGACTTCTGGTTCGGCTTCTCCTTTACATGTATTTTAAAACTGTATTTTTGAGGCTAGGTGAAGGCCATTATCCCAATACACGTACATTTAGCCTGGGCATATGAAATCTTCCAAGAACACCCGATATCACTCGTAAGTTGGCATATCTTATGGTTGTATGTGTTTGTGGGATATGGTATACGGGTTGAAACTGTAATCTAACGTAAAAAATAATGAATGTGATTTTAGCGATGTAGAATCCCTTGCAAACTATAATATTGTGAAAGTTCAATCTCTAATAATAGGTATACCAGTCCAAAAATCCAAGCCGGCGGGTTATCTATCGTTGGTATTCAGATTTTTGTTTATGAGTCAAATTACCGTGGATTAGGCCGTGAGAAATTTGAGATTTTGGTGAGGGAATCAATACTCTTCTGCCTGTTCTCCAATCCATATTCTGTGAATAAATATTGTTTTTATAAAACAATGTAAACCCTGTACTTACTATTTAATAAAAGGATATGTTTAATAAAAGGATATATTTTATTAAAATGGATATTTATATTAACAGGTAGTACTGACGAAGAAGCCTATATAACTATTGGGAGTTTAAAATGTAAAGGATAATCGATCTTTAGGTGACAACAACCACACGTATACTGTTGTATACTTAGAGATATGTCTTTGTATTTATGCATACTCTTTGTTCATGAGATGAAGAAGACAAGAATTAGAACTAACTGCCCTTGCTAACTAAATAATCGTGTGGACCCTCTAGAGGTTAAAGTTATTTCTAGATTGATTTGAAATTAAAACAGTGACTGTGTGAAGAATGCCATTATTATAATATGAGTGTACGTAAACTGATCTACATTAATTTGTGCAAATTTTTATTGAAATTTCTAAAAAAAATAATTGTTCGTCGAAAAAACTTATTCGACTGCTTTCCAAATTAAAGAAAACACCCTAAACAGTTCTTTCTTTTTATATCATTTTGGGGAATTTGTATCCCTGTGTAGCGTCTCTGACAAGCACCAGTATCCGATCCACCTAACCAAGGGGGGTGGATGGCCGAATGGTTAACACACGCGTGCTTTATCATAAGGCCTGTCATTGAGTCAACTTGTGTGGTTTCGAATCCCCGGTTGTACGGTACAAGGAGTATGGTCGACTGTCCAACCTCGTGGGTTTTCTCTGGGTCCTCCGGTTTCCTCCCACTGCTAAAGACCCCTATGCGCAAGCGAATTATTGAAATAAAATTGAACCATGTGTTAGTCCCGAAATGACCTAGTTTGTGTTGAGTGGACGTTAAACCCCATTTCTCTCTCTCTCTCCACCTAACCAAGGCCAAGTGATGTGTTAAATGTATTACCCGTTTGTACACATGGTATCTTATTTTTGACATGGAATTGCGGCGGCTCAGTGAGTAAGACGTTGCGTTGCCAACCCGGAGATCCCGTATTCGATCCCAGTGTTGACCGAGGAAGTACATCGGAATTTATTGGCGTGGATCTCTCGCATCAGTGATGTAAGACGGTGGCGGGCCTGGCGAGGGACAACTTATAGTCGTTCGGAAGGGACGCAAGACCAAGGTCCGGTGTACACATTGTCGTGCACGTAAAAGAACTACATGACATATGCGCGTCTTAATTAGCTAAGTCAGGGCAGAAAAGTAGGATGTTACACCCTATTTTATTTTTTTTATTTTTTTTTGTCTCATTTTGATAGAATACACATACTTATTTCGTCAACCCGACAGCCGCATGGCTTTAAGTGAAAATTCCCGAAAGCTAATTTGGGACCCAGACGAGAATTCGACCTACGGGACATTTCTGGTTTTGACTCTAGTATTCTAATCAAATAACTACCGACAATCTATCTTTTACTACCGATTTATGAACGGACCATCGGTTTTTCGTCCCATTCGAACGACACAAGAATGTTTCCTTGAAAACCTTGCATGCCCAATTTCTGGTATATAACCACCATCAAGCAATATTTTACATGTACTGGCTATTTGTACACTGGAGCTCGCCCTTTGGTCTCATGCAAACACAGGTGTCCTACTCAAATAACCACCAACAGGGGATCTCTATAATAGACATAATTTGTACACGGGGCCACGACTCTTGTCCATCCCAACGACTAGAACATTATCTCTTACCAATCTTATATCCACACCCGTGCGTACTGTAAACTACCCTACAACAGATTCCAAGGCGAAAGTTTTAAAGCCAATCCGCTATGAGTTTCGTCCAAAGCTGTACCTCCACTGCAAACTCATGAATATTCACTAAAAACTGGATAAAATCTCAATTAGCACAAATCTGCACACACACATAGCTACGTACTTTGATAATAGATATCTGCCCTGAATAGCTACCCCGGTTTCCTCCCACTGCTAAAGATCCCTACGCGCAAGCGAATTATTGAAATAAAATTAAACCATATGTTAGTCCCGAAATGACCTAGTTTGTGTCGAGTGGACGTTAAACCCCATTTCTCTCTCTCTCTCTGAATAGCTACCATATTGAAAAATTGGAGTACGATTTTGTTATGCGGTTCTAATCAGTTTTACATCTTGATTATACGCTACCTAAGTGTATATAGCGCATGTATATATGTTTTCATTATTGTATTAGGTAAATAAAAGATAGATTCTTCCCAATGTTAAATAAACCATGACAAATATCTTAATAGCAAAAGTATTCAATCTTTTGTACTTGACAGCTTGATTGATAGAAAATGTATTTTAGTAAAGACCTGTCATCAATTGTGCGAGTAATACAATCGTAGCAGTTCAGTGAATTGAGACGCTATGAGGTAGATGATAGATATGTCAGTTTATTAAAGTAGCACAAATACTTCACATTTTATCATGTTTACATTTACACTAGAAGTGTCTTAAAAACGACAAATGGGGTTTAATGTCCTACCGAACCATCCGGACTAATGAAGACGCTACTAAAATCTGTATAATTGGGATCGGTCCTAATATTCACCTATTTCCTCGATATTCACCTTTTGCCCTAATAATCACCTATTGCCCTAATATTGTTCTAATATACAACTATTGTCCTAATATACGACAACTATTGATCTAATATACAAAACCATTATCCTAATATACAACTACTGTTCTAATATACCATTATACAACAACTACTGTCCTAATATACAACGATTGTCTTAATATACAACCATTGTTCTAATATACAACCATTGTTCTAATATACAACTATTGTTCTAATATACCATTATTGTCCTATTATACAACAGTTATTGATCTAATATACAACCATTGTCCTAATATACAACCATTGTTCTAATATACCATAATTGTCCTATTATACAACAACTATTGATCTAATGTACAACCATTGTCCTAATATACAACTAAAACATTCTTCATTTCCTACGCCGTAGAATAATTAATTAACCCACAAACGATAATCCATCTATATACTGTTGGGTTCCGTCGGAACAATAGCTGCCAGAGACGTTAATCCACACCTTGATTGGGTTATTTGAAGTCACCTTTTTATGGGCAGCAGTATTTTCTCAACGACTTAAATCCGATCTCTACTCTCGGTTGATGAATTCCTTTATCAATGTTAAGGAAACATAGTTATTTAAACGCCATATATGATACAATTTGATTTGTTTATCTCAAAATAAAAATATCTACCGTTAATAGCATGTCTGTACAAAAGCATGGGCCCCTTTAAATAGCGAACTAGGAAGTAAATGAGCTGGGGCTTACACAAAACCCGTTTATTCATGTGATCAGTAGCGATATGAATGTGTGTAAGTTAACTTGGTGTAACTGATGTAATGTGCTTTTGTCGACTGTTTGTGTACCGAATTATTCTTGTTATTAAGTTGTGAACTTTATAACTATCAGGGAAGAATGGCGTCGTCTAGAAATTATTCAGATTTAGAACTTGGGCCTTCCATTATACGTCCAGATATGGAATGGGAACCTATAAGTTACACTATGCCTGATATACTGGAAACGTTTCCTCCGCCAAGGGTCGTGCGCTGTGACCCAAATTTTTTTCAAGTACCTACCGAAAACATCAATTTCGATGTATCACAGCCATTTTTGCTGTACCAACCTCGAAAAATTGTGAAATATGTTGGTGATAATATGAAATACGACTCCAGCAAGAATAAGTATTTACCAGTAGGCAACCCTCTGCTCATTCCGAAAGACTATAAAGGTAGGTAACCCTAATGTTAGACTACTGAATTTATCCTCACACTGCAGAGGTCGGGGTAAACCATTAAGCAAAATAAGCACGTGCTTAGGGTGCCATGGGGTTGGAGGGGGGGGGGGGGGTAGGTACTGCACAAGATTACTGCTTTCTTAAATGACAAATTTAAAATATGCAATTTAGAACTTTTACTTACAAAATGGTTTACTTTGTTACTATTCAATTACTTAACGCTACTCAAAAAAACTTTTAATTAGTTTTTTTGTTTGTTTCTGTCTTTTCTAACGGTTACCTGCTTTATCTCAATTGATAAAATCTCAGACAAGTTCTCACCACCTGTTTGATGATTTGTTTAGGGCTTATTACTGTTTATATTTTGAATTACATAGATAAGGGGGTGCCCAAATATTTGAAGTATTTTAGGGCTTCGATGTGTCATAACTAGGACCTTCTCACACAACACATGTAGGCCTAGTAGATATAATAGGACTTTCCAGCTTATCACTTTACAATATACAAATACTTAAAATATATATTTGCCTGTCTATATTTTACTTCTTGGCTTAATTGTCAGTCGAACAAAGAGTACGCCAGAGCAATGATTTTGTTGAAAAGGGATACAGCCAGTCATTAAATTCAGCCATGCGTAAGATGGGTAATATTTCTTTGTCAAAAATGCATTCACTCATGTTGAAGCGACGATGTTGATAAAATACTGATCTGAAAACTTTTGTTTTTACATTCATAACTTAATTTCGCGAAATCGACGACAATAACTGACATGACATTCAGCCTTTATAAAATAAAACAATAGTTCCGTCGCAAAATAATAAATTTTAGGACCATGTTTCTTTTGAATTGATAGAAGAGCTTATGTTAACATTGTCGATTACAATCGGTCGTTGTGTCGTCATGCTTGCAATATCACATTCATCAATAGAGAAAGGCATGCGTTTACTAGATAAAGATTCTTATACTCGGGGACGGACTAGTATAACATGTATGTAAAGATATTCATATAGGTATTTGTTTTGTTCATATACCCTACTTTATACTTGAGATAAATGATTATGTGTAAGTTAAAGTAATATAATGTAAAGGGTACGAACAGATAGTTGGGATAGAAATGAAATGAAATAAAATCATATGGGATTAATTTCCTACTCGTCTGCATAGGCTGTGCAGGGTACTTAAGGGTTCTTTTACGTGCGCGCCAATGTGTATACGGGACCTCGTTTTTAGTCCCAACCGAACAACCGGGGAACCGGTGACCCGGAGAAAAACCACAAGGCTGGAAGGTGATCTTACTTCTCGTCACTTACAAACTAGGAATCGAAACAACACCACTTGACTCAATGACAGACTGTATGATCTAAAGTGCAATCATTAGATCTTTCGTCCACCGAATGCCTCATCCAAATAGAAATTATAAAGATGATAATATATCGTTTAGGGATAATTTTAGCATTGACATCACTGACGCTATAAGATTCCATATATATTTAGGAAATGAAATGAAATGGGGTTTAACATCCTTCTGTTCTGCTCCTAAACTGGGCTAATGAAGACGGACATACGCCATACAGTGTGCTATGAATAATTTTGCCCGGGCAGCGGCGCTACAGCCTACTCTTATATCGAATTCCATCTGCCAAGGGATCATTTACGTGCACGCCAATATGTACACGGGACCTCGGTTTTTCGTCCCATCCGAACGACTAGACAGCTGTCCTTGTCAGGCCCTCCGCCCTGCATCACTGACAAGGGGGAACCACGCCGGAAAATCTGGATGAACTTTCTCGGCCAATGCAGGGATCGAACACCGACCTCCAGACTAGCGAGCCAGCGTCTTACCCACTTAGCCACGTGGTATTTAGGACTAGAGTATAATGTACCAGATCGCGGGTTCGATCCTGGTGTTGGCTGAGAAGGTTCATCGGGATTTTTCCGGCGTGGTTTCCCCTTGTCAGTGATGCAGGACTGAGGGCCCGGCAAGGACAACTGTCTAGTCGTTCGGATGGGACGAAAAACCAAGGTTCCGTGTATACATTGCCGTGCATGTAAAAGATCCCTTGGCAGTTGGAATTCGATATAAGAGTAGGCCGTAGCACCGCTGTCCGGACAATACTTCCTCCATTGCACACTGTATGGCGTATGCCCGTCTTCAGTAGCCTAGCGGAGCAGAACAGTAGGACATTAAACCCCAATTCATATAATATACGGATAATACCTATAACGAAGATCATAACTAACTTTTATACATACACATATTATATGTTGGCCATGTGAACCATAAATTATGTACGTTTAAATTTACGAGAATTTGTAGCGTTTTCCACTTGGGCTCAGTTATCAATAGTGGAAAGTACATTTTGCTCTATACCAGTGCATGTGCGGGGATGGATGGCTAAATGGTTAGCACATGCGCTCTGTATCATAAGGTCTGTCATTGAGTCAACTGGCGTGGTTTCGATTCCCCGGTTGTACGTGACAAGGAGTAGGGTCGCCTGTACAACCTCATGGGGTTTTCTCCGGGTCCCCCACTGCTAAAGGCCCCTACGCCCAAGCGAATTATTGAAATAAAATTGAACCCAGTGTTAGTCCTGAAATGACCTAATTTGTGTCGAGTGGACGTTAAACCCCATTTCTCTCTCGCGCCAGTGCATGTATTTTCGATAATAAGGTATAATTAACGTATATATGAGTATTCTTTTTAAAGATGCATTATGTAAGATTTATATAAAGAGCAAACACTTCTTGCTATAATAATTCAAACATAGATGGTGCAACATGAATGTTATGACAATTTCATTCAAACTACTTTATTCTGGGCGAAGTTAAATATTTACATCTCGTGGGTGTTCAATTCTATTTAAATCTCGGCCATCCGATTGTCTAGGTGGTTGATTATAGGCTTTTCGTATAAATAAATGTCTAAATAAAACTGTATATGAAATTTGAAGCCAGGGGCAGATTCAGCTCTTACATACATCTTTTAGTAAATATACTACATTAATATTATGTTGTAGTAGGATTCCTCATGAGATAAGTAGATAGTCACGTATACTACACACATTGGAATGCAGTCACTTATATTTCTATATCATATTACTAACTTGGTGAGATTTGGTGTTTGACTACTTTATACCCATAAAGGACTGTACATTATTACCCACCAGTACCTACACAATGTAAACCGGGTCATTATCACCACACGATACAACCAATCTTTGCAAAGAAATTGAAAATGATTTACGTAAAATATACAAACGACAAATACACGTAGAATATGTGGGATGCGTGTTTCAATATATAAAAACAAAATTTATAGTGAGCGAAAGTTAAAATCGTATATTTAAAATTTTATTCTTTTCATCATTTTAATAATATATTACTTAACATCATCTAAACATTATCCAGTCAAAAATCCTTGTCTTCTTTGATCAACACGGCCAAGTTTTTCAAAGTTTTTAAATACTTTATTCGCCTAGTTGAAATGAGCGTTGAAGCCAAGAAAAATGTAATTAAATAATCTAACTTATTCTTTGGGTCAAGAAAATAATATTAAAAATAATCTAAAAGTTCTCTTATCAACTTATTTAGTTTAAATATACAATAAAAATACAAACATTAAAATTGCTATTTTCTTAAATATCTCTCAAATTTTAACTAAAAATGTATGTACATGTATATTTGTTATGTTCAAATGGATAATTATTTTATTTCTTAATTACAGGTTGGTTTGCTCTACTTGGTTCACCACAAGAGTTATCGACAGACGTGAATGTACCCGTGTACATAACAGTCAAATCATTGGTAAAAAACAGGGTCATCCAGTTTTTGATAGGTGGAAATCGGAGCGTACAAAGTTTGCAAATGCAGCAAAATCCTAACCTGCCACCAGACTATAGAACTCTTTATCCAGGTGATGTGCTGCGAATAGGAGGGACATACGTTGCTAAAACTACATTTACAAAGAAAAGATTCTTTAAGAACAAGGTGTTTACACGAGAAGAGAGATTCGTTAAGTGTACTGATGAGAATGATAGGGAGTTGCTAATTCCGATCAGTGCTGAGGGAGAGTTTTATGCAATATCGTCGATCAGCCAGGACATTATAACGCCAATAGATAAATTAGAAAGTATTACACAGTTTCCGATGATTGCAAAGCTGGTCCACGGTAGGATGCCAGCGACCCCTTGTTCTTTTACGGGGACCATTCTCATTTCGTCATATTTTGAAGAACATTCCGTGATTTCGTCAACTGTTTTCAATGTGCGCAATATTATGCTTGAAATTCCGGTAGATACGATTCTTCATTACAATGTTGCAAAGAATCAGCCATGTCTTCTAGAAAACAAGAGTTACAAAGACGCTCTAGCTTTATGTATAGAGAAAAGTAATATTTATATGCGTCAAATAAAAGTGTCATTTTTGGTAACTGACAAATCTGAACCCTCGTCTGCTTCATCTACTCCCCCAGACACTCCAGCACCACCTGTTCCACGTTTAAAGAAAACTCAATCCGAGCACAAACATGAATTCCACCCTCCATTCATACGCAAGATTTCCCAATTGGAGCTCCACCAGAAAGTTCCTATCATCTCAACTCCTTCCATAAGACTTACTTTTGGAAATAACTCCTTGAATTTTTCAACAATGAAGGACGGAAGTGTGAAATTAAACAAAGCGATACTTCGCCAAAGGCTGTTTAGTGAACGAACCGACAAATCAAATCTGGTATATGAAAATGTAGATGATTTTGCTTTTGAATTTCCTAAGGATGGAACATTAGAACAAGGCGACCGAAGTGACGACACAAACGAGAATGTCATCTACGAAAATGTGACATTTCTGAGGAAACAACTGACTACTGATGATTCTACTGGAGAAACACCTCCACCATTACCGCCAACAAGGATCTCACTGATAGCAACAGACGCAAATGAAACTGCACCAAGATCATGCAGATCACATATCCGAGATTACGAAATACCCGTTTTAATCAAGGAATCCAACGACGATCTTCCAAATATCCGAGATTACGAAATACCCGTTTCAATCAACGAATCCAACGACGATCTTCCACTCGGATCAACATGCGCTACATATATTGAAAGTATTAAACGATCTACCATCCCGGATGATTGTGTCTCTAACACAGATTCAGGTTATGCACAGGACACAGAATCAGTGAAAAGCACTCCAGTCACGATTAGTTTAAATCTGATGTCCGTGGATGATGTGTCAAATGTATTAAAAGGTCTAGGATTCAAGGCGAATTCCATTGCAAAGATGAAATCCAATAAAGTGGACGGTAGTTTGCTTGCATCACTTGATCCAGAAAATCTTTCAGATACTTTTCCTGAATTGAATAAATTGGAAGTAAGAAAACTTGCCCTGTATCTTGATGGAAGCTGGTTACCCAAAAAACCATAAAGTGTTGTTTATTTTATTTTGTCAAACTGAAATGAAAACAAATCTTAAAATTTGTTTCTTCATCTTTTTATGGATTTTGTTATGGGTGTCAACGGCCTGGAACAAATATAATGTACGGCATTTGATTACACAGTCTACATTTCCTGATATGTACACTAAAGTTCATTGTTTTATGCATATGTTGATACAAATAATACTTTTTTTTAATATACGTTTTCAATGGCATTTATGGAAAATAAATACAGTTAATTGTTGCCATAGAACTCCTGTGTTTAATTTAATGGAATTGTTAATAACGACCACAACCTAATTTATTTGTTGTTGGATTTCAGTCATTGGGATATGTGTCATACTAATGCTTCCCAAATTCTTATTCAGCTGTTCAAATTGATCAATGTCATGATACGAAGGGATGAGACTGCAACACTTATGTATAATGCTATACCTGAATTTGAACAAACCTATTATAAACTATATGCATATCGAGTTGAATAGATAAACAACAAAAGTTGGTGTGAAAACATGTAATACGGGTGAAATGTTTCTAAAACTGTGCTAGAAAGAGTAAGCATATACACCGACGCACAAAAGAAAACATATCTAGACTTTGAGAGAGATTTAAATAAAAGCTCGATAGTAAAAGAAAATATACATGGAAATTGAACAGGCGTTAAGTGAACAGGCACATTAGTTGTATACATATTACACGTGACATATTTTATACACAATTACATTATCCAGATACTTGACAGATTTAAAGCTTTTCTTGGTATTGTTTTTATCGATGTCAGTATAACTTCCTTTTTAACAAAAGTCGATAAGAAAATCAATAATTATTCCCCTTTGTTATGAAATCTTGTTAGTGCTTTAGTAGGCTTTAGTTAAAATAATATTCTCAGTACTTTAATTAATATTGGTTGGCTATTGGCGGATATCTTTTCAATGAATTTCAATCATAGTTTCCAGAGTTGTTCCCCTTTGTCACGAAATCTTGCTTAGAGGCTTTAATTATGTTGATTAGGCTACAAATGCCCCGATGAGCCCATGTTTCTTTGCCCGCCAACCTATGTATCGATAAATAATGGTACATGATATATCCATTACATTTTCATTTTAAAATATCTATACTTTAGTACAAACGCTGGCTTTCAACGACGTGTTCCAACAAATTTGTATTTGACCCAAATGAAAGAGGGCTAGTTGTTTTAATTACTGTACTCATAATCACTCAACAGTGTTCCGTTGAGAACTCCCTCTCTGGCCATTGCTGGATTGGTTTCTGATACTTGGGATTTGAGGGAGTGTGTCTATTCTTCCCGTTCAATCAAATCTATCCCAAGTACAGCAACATGACAGCCCTTCGTTTAATCTGGGGTCTTCCCTAATACTTTGGACAGTGATTAAAATTGTTCGTCTCCAAACAGTATTGTTTAAATTGTATCCGTGTTGATAGCCTCGTTTGTCACGCACTTAGTTTTTCAGCAATATTATGCCATGCACTGGTTAATTGGGCATAATAAAATCGTGAGTCATAATTTAACGTTATGTAAACACATTTGGTCCAATTTGGAGCTCTGTTTAAAGCGTAATGATATTGTTAGGCAGTTAGCTAATGGTTGTTAATCGGACTATTGACCAGTCATAATTTGGAACAGAAATTTGCTTCCTTTATAGCAGTGTTAGGTGGGATTAGCTCTGATCAAACGAAACACTGCGAGGAGTATGTTATTTTTAGGAGTAGTTAGTATTGGGCTAAACTGATTCCTGTCGCTTCCCCTTTTTAAAAAAAGATATATATGCAACACTACCAGAGTTATTGTATACAGTAGAGTTGATTAAAGATACATAATTTAAGATTTAGATAAAGAGCGGACCATTCTTGCTAAAAACTCAAAAATAAAATGAAAATATTGAAAATTTCATTCAAATTACTTCATTCTGAACCAAGTTATCACTGTAATTTTGACAAGATGTGTGCATTGTGGTAACCAGGGCACTGGTATATTCGAAACATAGCCTCGTTTTTACATTTTTAAACAAATTTTTAAATGGCGAACCGTTAAAATCTCGAGTATTCGGTGCCATCGACAGTTGATTATGGTCTTGTTTTGTTTATAAATGTCTAATTAATCGTTTATATAACATTTCAGGACTAAAGAAAGACCTGCAATAGGCAGATTTAGCTCTTGCATAATATATGTTTAATTCTTAAAATGTTGTGTGCGTCAAAGCGGGAGAAAGTTTATCTCTAAGACGGAACAATATAACTAGCAGTACAAGCTCAAATCGGTTAGTTTTCCATAAAATGAAATGAAATGGGGTTTAACGTCCTACTGTTCTGCTCAGACTGGGCTAATGAAGACGGGCATACGCCATACAGTGTGCTATGAGGGAAATTTTGCCCGAGCAGCGGCACTACGGCCTACTCTTATATCGAATTCAAACTGCCAAGGGATCTTTTACGTGCACGCCAATGTGTACACGGGACCTCGGTTTTTCGTCCCATCCGAACTACTAGACAGCTGTCCTTGTCAGGCCCTTTATCCTGCATCACTGACAAGGGGGAAACCACGCCGAAAAATCTGAATGAACTTTCTCGGCCAATGCAAGGATCGAACACCCGACCTCCAGGCTAGCGAGTCAGCGTCTTATCCACTTAGCCACGTGATCCCCCAGTTTTTCATAAACAAAATCAGATTATATAAACAAAGGATAAACGTTTACTATGATATATATATAGTTTAGTTACTTTGATTTTAATATATCACAAGGCAGTCTTTCGACCAGCTCATGTACTTTATAATAATTGATCATAATTAATCCAGTAATGAATTTCATCCAAAATAAACACCGTTTAGACTGACAGAAAAAATGACTTCTCAAGTACACCTAATTAATTCGTTGATTAATTCATTGGTTAGAGTAGTTAGGTTTGTTGAATTGAATACAGTAAAATATGTCAATTACTCATCAAATGTTATCGAGGATAACGTAATGGATTTTGTATTTATATAAACTGCTCAACGCCAAAGAGAAAAAAAAAACGTACATGTAACAAACAACTGAATCAATTCTGCGCGCACATGATCCACTCCTGTTGTTATTAGCGGAATATTGTTTCAGAAAGAGTAATCCAATACAATTTTTAATTTAGGGGCCAAAACTGACCGGGGATATCGGAGTCACCACCAATGTCTGAATGAGATAAGTCATTCGATGCCGAAGTAAACCCTGGATTATCATCAGATCGCCACGAGAAGCCATTGTGATCTCCAATTTTAATCAATAAATGTCCGAGGTACTTTTATGCAAATATCACCGGCCCTAAACGCGGTTTTACTTAACACCGTCCTTCTGCTAATGCATTACCCCATAAGATAAATGGGACAAAAGTATCGGAGCCACCAATGTCTGAATAAGATAGGTCATTCGATGCCGAAGTAAACTCTGGAATATCATCAGATCGCCACGAGAAGCCCTTGTGATCTCCAATTTTAATCAATAAATGTCCGAGGTACTGTTATGCAAATATCACCGGCCCAAAACGCGGTTTTACTTAAAACCATCATTCGGCTAATGCATTACCCCATAAGATAAATGGTACAAAAGTATCGGAGCCACCAATGTCTGAATAATAAATGTCCGAGGTACTTTTATGCAAATATCACCGGCCCCAAACGCGGTTTTACTTAACACCGTCCTTCTGCTAAATGCATTACCCCATAAGGTAAATGGGACAAAAGTAATATGTAGATGTACATGTATGTAGATTTGGTCGCAAGATTGTAATCTTTTTCGTGTTTTTCTATGCAATCTTTTTCGTGTTTTTCTATGCACCCATTTTCTATAAAACCGAATTCTCGCTATATATATTATTCTACATGAAGAAAAACAGATTATATATCGAAACATGCTCGAAATTATACAGTGACTCAAACTTAAATCTAACAAATCCAATTCCCCATCAAAAGAAAGGGAAATAATTGACACGGTAGAGACATACTGTGTAAATGTCATGGCATCTAGAAGGGCGAATGAAGGGGCAGGCCACCACAGGCGCCGAGCAGTATGTTCCCATATACGGAAGCCCCGGAAATGAGATTTGGGGCCTTTTAGGAACAAAAGTCAAGCTACGCTATCGACTGCCATCATTATCAGTAGATCGAACACACTTTTTATTATCAACGTACAAAGCTACCTTTCGGTCGAACGTTCGCCTTTTACTATCTTTAATTTTGTAGTCATGACTCTTTTGAGGTAATGGCTATTTTGAAAGCACATGGCTAAGATGGCATTCGTCATTTAAAAAGTTAGATTCTTTTAGAACACCGCATTGTGTAATACGTAACGTCGGGGTGGTGCAATTTGAATTGTGTCTTAGATGTTACGAGAACGGGATACAATGGGATTCAGTACTGTGCCCCCAACCCCCTTTACTTCGGAAAATACTACATACGCCACTCCAAATGACGTCAAACTTATTTTTTAAATTAATGTATTTGAAACTAACAAGCCGTAATTTGCTTTAAACTTGTAAAACTTTATCTTGGATTCTAAAATTTTTATTATTTACTTGGTGTCAATATTGGAATCAATATTTACATCCCTTTCTTTATTAATTCAAAACTCATCGTTCATTAATGTTCCAGGATTCCGTACCGAGCAGTCGTTAATGATTTCGCTCTCTTGCAACACAATATCCACGAATGCATCCGATAAGTATAGTTTTATTCATCATTACATGTACTGTTTATTCCAAGTTTTGGACAAGCGTTCCAGATATGCAAAACAGAACGTTACCACAGGAGACAGGGCGGTTCAGAAGTTCTAACATCGAATGCGCCTCAAGATGTAATGAAAGACCAAACTGTTTGTCCTTATTTTACAAGTATGACGAATCGGAATGTTATCTGTACGATACAGTCTATGACGTAAACTCATCTTTTACTACAGCATATGGAGAATATTACGTCGTTTTGAATTCAGGTAATGTTAGCTATTCATTTTTCGGGGGTTTTTTTATACCCTAGCTTTTGAAATTAAGTAGAATTAAGTTGCCTGCGTTCTGTAAACATATATTACGTGTCTGGAAAAGTTTGTGAACAAGATATAAATTAGATTATGGCATGATCCATATCATGTTTGGGCCAACCTACAAGTTTCCCTTTTTTATGGCTATCATTGTTTTTCGAGACATAGTTGTATAATATGCGTATATAATCTATACAACAATAACTCAATACGACCAACGTCATGTCAGGTCGATTTATTTCTGTTCCTTCTTTCTTGTACATAAATAAAAAATAATTCGTTTTGAGGAAAGCCAGTAACATTACAGACACGGTACTCTACAGCGCAGTAGACGCTACCAGCTGGCCCCCTGATCCATTTACTTGAGATTTGATATTTGATACTTGTCCGCAGGTTTGTCATGTCGGTTTTGTTTTGTATGTAGTGCGGTTCTCCTGTATTTACTACTTTTCGTATTTGACGTTCCCACATACAATAATTATTTGTTTAATTTGGCTATTTGTTAAATTTGGCGATTTATGTAATGTTTATATGTTATCCAAGTCTCGCACAAATATTATATTACATTTATTCGTGGGGTGGTTTCATTTTTCAGAAATGGCGACATGGCATATGCACACAGTTGGACAGAGTATATCATTTATTTCTCTATTCACTCTAATGTTAATTCTCGTCTCTTTCACCGGGGTTGAGCGCTTTCTACCACAGATGGGGA